CTCTCTCTCTCTCTCTCTCTCTCTCTCTCTCTCTCTCTCTCTCTCTCTCTCTTTTTCAATCTTGGTTTCCATGTAGCGCAGATGCGCTCCAGGCTCCATATTCGTCTGTGCCAAATAGGCATCTATCTAGCGGTTCCATGCCACCCCCAGTAGCCCGTATGTAACCCTTCCCCCTTTCTCCTGTCCCGACGCAAAGGGGCAACACCGCCGTCCCTCCTGGCTATGAAGTTGGTTAATGTTGGCCTCAGTGTCAGCTTCCTCCGTCGTTTGTCTGAATTGGAAGATGGGCGTCACTCGTCGCTGTCGTCAGCTATTGTCTCATCTTCCATCGCGCATATGCAGCAGTCATGAATAAGTCTGCTTTTATGTGCTAGTGCGAGTATGCCCTTATGCAGGTTTTCTTCGCGATGTGCTAGTGCGAGTATGCCCTTATGCAGGTTTTCTTCGCGATGAAGTATCAAATGGGCATAAATGATAAGCACTGGCAGGTACGTCTTGCACAGAGTTCAATGAGGCAAACAGAGAGGCAGTAGCCACCAGTACGTTTCCCTGCTTGGAAAACAAATAAGCGCCCGTTAACAGGGGGGTTGGTGCAGGGAACGACCGAGCACCGTCCAACTGATAGTGAAGAAGAGGGAAGGAAAAAAAAAGGGAAAAGTCATAAAACCTCACGGCTGCAATCAGACTCGACTTGCTTTCAGCATGCAAACACGAGAACTGATGGACAAACCAAACTCGTCAACTCAGAATCAACAACGAACTTGCACTTACACTCTGTTCAATACAACTGTACAACTTGCGGCTATGGCCGCCGAACACTGTCTCCACCACCAGCCTCACTGTCCCTCATGCACACATGTATGAGGATCACCCTGAATGTCCACGCAGCACAGACACACACACTCTCAATACTCTGTATGCACCAACACCTGGGCGGCTATGGCCACCGTCGTCCTCCTGCTTCCTCGCTGGCCAGCTATGGACAGTGTCATCCAGACTCATCCTCACTGCCCACTTCCTCACCGGGCACCTGCAGACCTCCATGCACAAGATACCAAGGCAGCTCTTCTGCATGGCTCACATGCAAATGAATGAATGGCTGGATGCTGCCTCTCTATTTATACCTCGTCGGAGGTACCCGGTCCTGCCTCCAAACTGCGTGGTGCAGGCACCAAAATGTGTATTCTGGAGACTTCTCCAGAATGCGTGGGCCTTCCCTTGTCCCCACGCGCAGCTCCCTACCCCTGGTTCCTGCTGACTGGACTTGTCTACAGGGACCTACGGAATTGTACCCCAAAATGTGTATTCTGGAGACTTCTCCAGAAAGGGTGGGCCTTCCCTTTTCCCCACGTGCAGCCCCTACCCCTGGTTCCTGCTGACTGGACTTGCCTACAGGGACCTACGGACTTCTAGAACCTACAGACCGACAGACAGACTTTAGGCCCACCCTAGACTTAGGTAGAGACTTCTAGAACAGACTCTTTTAGGCCTACTGGTAACAGACTCACCTCCTAACCTACAGACCTAGGGTTTGACTCTCACACAGATCGCTGGGCCTATGTACAGGGTGCAGGGTAGGTCTAGGGATCGAATCTCACTCAGCACACAGGGTGGGCGTACAGGGTATAGGGTAGGTCTAGGGATCGAAGTCGCTCAGCACACAGGGTCAATGTATAGGGTATAGGGTAGGTCTAGGGATCGAATCTCACTTAGCACACATGGGCAACGTACAGGGTTCGGGCACAGGTCTGCGAATCGAATCTCTGGGTCTGCAAATGTCGGGTTAACTGGGTGAAACCGTTTCACTCCCGCCGTCCTAAATTTGAGGTCCTTCGAGAACATTCTAACTCAAGATAGAACCTTTACCCTTTTTTTCTCTCTTATAAGCGTGTACTATGTTTGGAGCATTTTCTAAGAGCTATGTCCTGGTAAACCATCAGTCGTCCTCGGGTTCCTGGTATGGGAACCTAACCTTATACTGTTTCTGGTGACGACCTCGACGTCCTCTCCTGAACAGGTCCTCTTCCACTATGCGATCTATATCGTATGCACCATCCATGTCTGGTGAAATCATTGATCTCCTGGAAGGGAAACTATCAGACGTGGTGCAAGGCAACAACTTGGACGCATGGAAGACTAGGTATGTGTGGAGGTGTGGTGGAATCTCTATCGTATGTGACGGGCCGTCCTCTCCTCCTTTGACTTCTAGGACAGGCCATGGTCCTCTATACGCAGGTATGAGCTTCTGCGATATGTTTTCTTCTAGTGCGAACTCCTTCGACTTGACCCATACTAGATCGCCTACTTGAAACTGTAAAGGTCGGCGGTGCTTGTCAGCATGCTCTATCATCCGGTGCTGGACTCTCTAGGACCTAAGATTGTCAATGACCTTAGCGACTTCTTGCTCGTGGTGTAACGCAGACTCTCGGGTGCCGGGTGGTAGTCTCTGTATCTGTTCCCAGTTTAATCCTTCAAAGGGTGGCCTAGGTCTAAATGAATTATGTAACGCATTAGGAGTCTTGCAAGTAGCTAGATGGACACTGTTATTATAAGCGCTTGCTACCTTGGGGAGCATGTCATCCCAGTTTGTCTGATCTGCTCTAATGTATATTATGAGTAGTTGATGCAAGATCTTATTCATCTGCTATGTTTGGCCGTTAGTCTCTGGGTGTGATCCTCATGACATCAACAACTTAGACCCATAGACTTTCATAGGATCCTGCCAATTCTGGCTAGTAAACTGCGTATCTCTATCACTTACTATGGACAGCGGCATACCATCCTCGCTTACCCAAAAATCAAAGAACTTTCCTATTACTAAATCTGTCCGCGCTTCTGTCAGTAGCGGAACAAAAACTGCATATTTACTAAATCGGTCTACTATGACCATAACTTCATTTTTGCCATGCCTAATTTTGACGCCAGTATCCGTAAAGTCGATGGAAACTCACTCTCCGGGTCCTGATGAAATAGGCAGGGGTCTAAACCTAATGGTGCTCAAGTGATTATCTTATTACGCTGACATGTTTTACAACTGCGGACATATTCAATGCAATTTGCTTTCATGACCTAGCCATGTGTATAACATCATCAGATTAGCTAGAGTCTTTTGCCATCCGAAGTGCCCTTCTGTATCGTTACATTCCCCTAAGATCAGACTATGAATTTCTTCACTATTGGGGACGCATAGTCTGTCAGCGACATTGGTCTTCTCAAACAGTAACACGTTCGTGGTTCAGTAGTGCATTTCACAATCTGCAGCTTCCTTTACTATTTTCAACAACTCGTTGTAGATCGAGTCGTATGCATAGGGCCCTATTTCTAGATAGTGCACTATCGCACAGAAGTAATCAGCTCTCCTACTCAGAGCATCGACTACCACGTTATACTTTCCATTTACGGGCTTTAACTCAAAAGTCAAAATTGATATATCCCATCATCCCATGTAGTCAACTTGGGAGTCATCTTGACCTGTGTCTTTAGCCATCTAAGTGTCTCATGATTCGAATACACCTATGTGACACTCGCGGCGTAGGCCGCGGGCATTTAGAACGCAGCGGCCGAAAAAGTCGGTCGAGGCCGCCGTCCATGAGGCCCAGTCCGCGGCCTATTTTTTTAATAATTTCCCCCCCCTAAAAATATGCAAAAAATATATATATAAAGGGGTGTAGGGCTTGGAAAACCATACAATTCTATGTTTTTAATTTTGGAATCGGACTTCATTTGAGATTTAAAAAAAAATAAAAAACCAAATTTGATTTAAACAAAATATTAAAATAAAAAATAAAAATAAAAAAGGATTTTTTTTTTGTCATTTTTTATCATGAGGGATATGGTCCCAGAGTTGTGCTGTATTTTTTTTAGAAATAAATTTCGGTTTTTTGCTGGTAAATTAGGTGTTAAAAAAAAAATTAAAGATGCAGAAATTGAAAAAAAAAAAAAACAATGTTTGATTGATTGATTGATTGATTGATGTGTGTGTGAGTGTGTGA